AAAAAAAACAAGGGTCCTGGAGGAAATGAAAATGGGAAATAGGTCTGGAGACTGCTCAGGAGGTCCGTCAGAGAACCCACTCTTCCTCTCTAGGATGGAAAAAAATCATTATTTGAAGCCCGAAACTACTCCAATTAATCTCCCTCGGTGCCGGGTAATATGTGTCAACTACTTCCTTAATGAATCTCCTACACGGGAAGAACTGGAAACCATCGGGACATACCAGCAGTTTCCCAGTCATGCCAATGCTACGGATCTGGGAGCTGGAAAGGGGCCATCTCATCTAATCTCCTTTCTCAGCTCCCTTGACGCTGAGACTGTTGTCCACTCTGCGGAAGACTTGCCTACAGCTTTCCTCCTTGCAGGCCAGAGGGCTTTCTGTTCAGGCCACTACTGAGAGGACACTAAATCGGCAGCAGAGTTGGCCAGATGTGCTTTTACGGCCTTGCCTGAGACCTTAACTATCACTTAAAGCACTCTATCATGTGAAAAATTTACCTGAATTTCTAACATTGGAATTTCTTCTGGGCTTTTGAGACCTTCGTGAGGTAAGCAGGAGAATTCTTGATCCTCAGGATTGTTTTGGTGAACCTGGCTACTGGGATGAGAGCAGTCATTTGCTCTCGGGTAAGTATAACAGCAAGTATAAGAGGTTTTAGAAGATCCTGTCTCCTGGAACTGCTCTGTGCTTTCTACCACGTGCTTAAATGTAAAAGGAGAAGCCTGAAGGAAAACTTTAGGGTGAGTGTGCATATGTATACGTACTCAGAATTATATTTAAATACATCTATCATCTTCTCTAGAGATCATCTTGGAAGGCTCCTGCCAGCTGGTGTTAGAGTGGCTTTTTGCCCATCTCATTATAACATGAGCTATGTCATGCCTCACCCTGAGAGCTCTGGGTAGGTATCTCAGCTTCCAGGAGGGTCTAATTTGGGCAGGGGATATGGGAAGACAGAAGACAAGGAAGGAGGGAGAGAGGAGCAAACGGGAGAGAAAAAGGAGAGAGAGAATGGAGAGATGGGGGAGGAAGAAGGAGAGGGAAAGACAGAGGCCGAGAGAAATAAGAGAAGAGGGTAGGGGAGGGAAGGGAGAAGGGCGAGGATGATGGAAAGCAAGGGTGGAGGAGAGGAGACAAGGAGGGGAAGAGGATGGGGAGGAAAGTAGAGGAATTAGGGGAAAAGCAGGGAAAGGAGAAGGCTAGGAGGGAGAGGGAGGGGAAGAGACACTGACTGAAGAATAGTCATTTGGGCACTTCCAGCTTTATCAAAACAAAATCTCTCAAGTAAACCAAATCTCCCATGGCAAATAAATGGCAAATGATCAACAGGCTAAGTAGGTTCCTTTTGAACAGAGGAATCAGGAACGGGGAGTTTGGATTTATTTCCCTCCTGGAGGCAATTTTCACACATGCTGCTTAAATCATTGCTTACTGAAGCTGTTTATTTAATTATTTAGCATTGTGACTACAGGCCAGATGTTATATAAGCAAGGCCGACAATCCAGTCACACACTGGAACAACATGTTTATGGATTATGGGCTTTGCCGTGCGGCAATCCCTTCTAGCCTTGGTAGATGGTCTAATACACCCACTGGCTGTGAATCTCCAGACATCAGATGCGGTGCTCCTGTGGGGAACAGAGACTCTCTCCCCAGCAAGACTCTGGGCACAAAGCACCTGTTTTCTTGTGGCATGTTTATTAGTGGGGCTCCAGATGTTTTAGTCACAGTTTATGTTTCAGGGCATTTGGGCAACTGGCTTCTCAAAATGTCCATCTGTATACTTCTCTCTCAGCCCCGAAGCCAAACAAATGGCATTTTCTCTCTGGAAGTGTAACAGTGCCATTCAGATACATACCCCTTTTTCCCTTCCACGGGCGGGGTGCATAATGGCTCCTGTTTACTGCAGCCCATAATCTACACTGGGGGCGTTGGTCGTGCCATTCAACACATTATCGTGACCATAAGGCCCATGTTTATCATTATAATCATTATAGTGAATAACCAATCCTTGTTTAAATTTTAGGAATATGCAGCTTAAAGCCCAGTGGGTGCTTTCCACAACTGTTAGGAGCAGATCTGCTATATTGAAAGGAACCTCGCAACCATAATCAATGGCAGTACATTGGCATTTTGCAGTTGGGTCAGGCTCAAAGTCAGCACCTATCACAAACATGGCATGGATTCAAATTAACTTTAAAAATCCCCTTTATACCTCATAAAGTACGTGCGCATGGTTTTTTTGTATACTGTGCTCTCAATTAATCCAACACAGCCAGCTTTTCTTCCAGCATTGGAGCAGAGAGCTTTTCTGTTGTTGAGCACCAGATGAAGCAGCTGGCTTATGTTTAGGGGCCATGTTACGTGAAAAAATAGTTTATTGCCCTTCTAAACAAGTATTGTTGGATTTGCATAAGTTAAATGTGTGCATATGATGAGACTCTACCCTCCAGTGGAATCATGCAACACATGCTACCTTCTCTTTCTCCACTCTAAAATGTCTTAGCAGACATTTCTTTCTTTAGTTTATGTGATATTTCATTCAATCTTTGGTTCTAATGTTTTCTGAGTGCTTCGCGTGGACCAGGTACTGCTACGTTCTTTATTGTCTTACCTGTTATCAGCTGAGTTAGCACTTTAGTCTGGTCATTGAGAATGTTCACTGTAACATTTCTGGCTGATTTGAAGTACAGGGCATTACCCTGTAATAAGAAAATAAGAGAAACACATGAAAATGGCAGATTTCTAAATGAAAAACTGTAACCACAACTCTCCAAGGACCTGAACTGGCTTTCACTAAGTTCTAACTGATGTGTATTTATTTGAATATTCCAAGTGTTTAATGATCCCCACATACATAATTAATTGGAATTCATCCAAAATGGATTTCTTCCAAAGAGACCCACAGAGACCAACACATACTTAAAATAGATTTCACTAACACACACACACACACTCGACTCAGAGATAACCCGGCGATAAAGAGTCCTTTAGATCTTACGACAGGTGTTAGTTGCCCTTGGTATACAGAATGATCAGGAATGATCAGTAATCTCCTAATTTCACCCTTTCTCATTTATAATTTCTTCAAAAGAACCATGAAAAATACTTAATGGAGTGCATAAAACTTGTATAAAATACCTGAGGTCAGCCCCTCTGGCACGTCCACCTGCTGAGAGAAGCCGGGTACAATTCAGACTGAAATAGTCTCTTTGTGGAGATATTTGCCATATATGTATACCAGACCTAGGAGATGTGGCTTCTCCGAGTAGGCCTCTGCCTCCCCTTTCTTGTTCCCAAATTTCTCCTCCTTCAGATATTTTGTGCCTTCATCCAGTTTTCCTTTGTCAAAAAGGGCACCCCAATCCATTTCCACACTGTGGAGGGTATTTCTGAAAATGACTCGAAATAGGGGCTGGCACACTTTTTCTACAAAGGGTCTGATGGTAATATTTTAGGTTTTGTGGGATGTACAGTCTCTGTGGTAACTACTCAACTGGTAACTGCTGTTTTGGTGCAAAACAGCCATAGACAGTACACAGACAAATGGGTATGGCCGTATTCCAGTAACACTTTATTCACGGACAGTGACATTTGAATTCCAAATAATTTTAACATGATCTCACTGTGTCATAAAATATTGTTTTTCCTTTTCTCCCCTGATCGTTTAAAGATATAAAAACTATTCTTATTTCATTGTCCATAAGCGAACAGGCAGAGGGCCAGATGTGGCGACAGTTTGTCAACCTCTGGCTTAGATGTTCTCTCTTTCCTGGAGTAAACTAAAGCCATAAACTGAAATATGATTGCTGCCAGAACATGTCAGTATCCAGATAGCTGTTGTTAGAAAAAGGATGTGTAGTCATTCTCATTGTTCCAAACCTTTGTTACCACATGGCACTTATCTGCCTGAAAACTCTATAACATGCATGGAGTCCCAAACCCAGAAAAACATTGTCCCCAGAGCTGTGCAGAAAGCAAAGATAAGCAAGACTCCTCTTTAAAGCCTTGGATTCTAATGGGAACAATACGATGGGCACAGAAATAATACCGGGCAGAGAACAATACAGATAATTAAGGAGCTGCGCACAAAGCCTGTGGAAAACTTTCCTGAATGGTAAGAGTATTCATAGCTTGAGGCTGTTGAGTGGGAAGCAAAGATATTTGTTAAAGCTTAAGCTGAGCCTTGAAAAGACTATAGATAGGCTTCACCAAGGTGAAATGAAAAAAAATGAGGTCAAGGAGGTAGAAGGGTTGTGGGATGGTTGATGTCTTTTTCCTTCTAAAGCAGGCGGGGTATAGGAGAAGATTCATGAGCCCAGCCTAGCACCTGCATGTGGTAGAGTGGCCGGCCAGTGCTGATAGGCAGCCTCCATGAAGGCATTCTTTCCATAGACTGAAGATCTGAAATCATGGTCTCCATCACCCAATCCTTTGTGGGGGATTCCAGTGAATCAGTGGTTGCCCTGATGAAGAAGTCATCATCTCTCTCCCCCACACTAGGACAGGAGCTCTTGCCCAAGGTGAACTTCTAAAATGGATAATCAATACCCATATCCCACCCAGGCCCTGAGGAAAGAACGGTTTACCTTATTTTTAAAAAGTTTTTCAATGTTTATTTATTTTTGAGAGAGAGACAGAGAGTGAATGGGGGAGGGGCAGAGAGAGAGGGAGACACAGAATCTGAAGCAGGTTCCAGGCTCCAAGCTGTCAGCACAGAGCCCAATGTGGGGTCAAACTCAAGAACCGTGAGATCATGACATGAGCCAAAGTCTGACACTTAACTGACTGAGCCACCCAGGGGCCCCAGAATGGTTTACCTTCTGTTTCATCAGGGCAACCACTGATTCACTGGAATCCCCCATAATGACTTAAGATTAAAATTCTGCCTAATGGTAAACTTTTTGCTTTGTTTTGTTTTTTGATTAGTTAAGAGAAGAAGAAATTCAATATTGTCATAGGCTTCCATCTTCTGTCCATTACATAACAAATATTAGCCTCAAAGAGATTCTTTGGCATTGCTTTTGGCAGTACTTAAGAGTTCTACTTAAAACTTAAAATCAACTCAAGTAATGTAAGGATTCAGAACCTGGAACCCAGACAGGAAGTTCTATGTTTCTAGAAGTTAATGTACTAATTCTTCTTATATTCAGCAAGCTGGCACTGAAGAGAGGAGCTACCTGGAGTGAGAGAACAGGATAGACTCTGTTGCCATTGACCAGTGTGTGACCTTGAGCGAATCACTTCACTGCTCTGTGGTTCATTCTGTGCATTCCCCACCACCAACATGGGTATGATCAGCAAGCTCATGGCTAACAGACCTGTGTGCTCACGATGTGCTGCACATGCAGTAGAAGCCCTGGAGTCAGCCTGCCTAATTTTCTATCCCTGCTCTACCACTAGCTAGTTAGGCTACTCTAGGCAAGTTACTTAATCGTTCTAAGCCTCAGTTTGTTGTTGTTGTTGT